AAGACACTGAATACTAATGCTACCTTGTACTATCAAAATGGAGTTACAGTTCAAAGCAACACTATAACAATCAGTAAGTAATACACAATTAATACATTATGATATTTACTTATTTTAAGGTACTCATGACCTGAACTTGACATTGATTAACGTTACATCAAACTCTGTTTGTGTTCAGTTTCAGTTTGTCAATGGCAGTACACTTTATATTGATTACATTCACATTATTGATAGTCAAGGCCAGTTTCATTGGGATGACTTCAAACCTTTTAATGATTCATTGAACTTTATTAAGTGTTTTGATGGCATACCAGCTGGTAATAACTTAACACTGTATGCATGTGAATTCGAAACCTTTTTTGAGAACTATAAACCTAATTGTCCTGCTGTAATAACTGGTATTAATATTACTAGTGACTTTACATCTTCAGTTCTAATGTCATCAGTTCATTCATCATCAGTATCACTCACATCAACAGCACCATCAATAATATCATCAGTACCATCAACAGTATCATCATCAGTACCATCAATAATATCATCAGTACCATCAACAGTATCATCATCAGTCCCCACTACTTCAGCCATACCAGCTACTTCATCAGTATCAGATGTTGCATCAATGCCAGCACCATCTGTTACAATGCCCCCAGGAAGCAGCATAGACAGTACTACAAACACTCCTACCTCTAGTGTTATATTAACAAGTAAAAATTCATTTATTTTCACAGTTATAATATATGGTACTTTAATGTCAATTTGTAGGTACTGCTTCATCATTAACATTTATGTCTATAGCTTCTTCATCCCTAACTTCTTCATTCCTTACTTCTGCATCATTTATACTGTCAAGTAATATGGTTACAGACTGCATGATCAGTTCTACAGTTACCATGATAATAGACGATTGTAATATAAGGGAAAGTCAAAATCAAGTACCTGTCGCTAGTGGTAAGCAATAGAAACATTTGAGTTATTATTATCATTCTTTTAATACAGCAGTACTGATTAGTGTATTGGGTGTATTCCTCATACTATCACTAATGATTAATGTTATTACATTAACTGTGTGTTACTGCAAGAGGAAAGGGAAGAATGGTCAAAGTATTTTAATTTGTTTTTAAAATTTACTATAATAAATTGTATTACAGGTTCACAAGAGCAAGAACTATCATCAGTTAATCCACAGTATGAGAATGTACATCTACCAGTTCCACAATCAGAACTATCAATGAAAGAATGTGCTGCTTATGGTGTAGTGGAGGGAACTAAATTGTAATTATGTATACCAGACTATATAACCTTGATAATACTTATAATAATTATTAAAAATATTTACTTTGGCTATGGGTACAGCCAGTACGGTGGGGTATAAAGTCACACCTTTACAAAAACAAACTGTACTGTGTGGGTGGTTCACTAAACAACATGATGATGGCCTTTGTTTCTGCTGTAATAATACTCTGCCAAATTTGCTTTTCTGGTTAGTTCTAATATTGATATTTGAAATTGTTGGAATTTAATACTTCAGGTGCAAGTATCTCCTTCATTATTGTACCAGAGACACAATTATGTATATGTCAATGATAATGTGACATTTGAATGTGCTACTAATGTGACTCTTTATCATCTTTCTTTTGTGACTAATCCATCAGTTGATGGTTCAGAATTATCCTCTGTTGGAATGGCATCACTCACCCTAACAGCAACAAGTGAAGTAAATGGTACAGAAGTTAACTGTAAAGTACCCAATGGAGCTACTACCACTGAACCAGCATATCTATATGTACAAGGTCAGTATAATGTTGATTAATGAAGTGACTGTACTCAAGCATTCATTCAGTCTACATTGTTGTTACACTTTTACTTAAATGTACATCATTTGTATCAGCTAGTCAATTGAACAATTTTTTATCATTCCCAGGTCCACCTGATAGTGTCAGTAGTTTAACAGGATATCAGTTAGACACTTGTTGTATGTTTATCAGTTGGTATCCTCCATTCACACTACCAGGACTAACAGTACAGTATATAATCAGTGTAGGAACTGATCAACACTACCTTAATGACTCTATCACTAACTAAACTTACTGTCCAATGAACCCAACCAATAAACAATATCTGTTTAACATTACAACTACTAATAAAGCTGGGAATGGATCTACTAGTAACATAACTGTTGGATTTCAATCAACAAGTAAGTAATAATTTTTATTGAGAGCCTAAAGTGATTATTCTATACAGCAGATGTACAGTTATATGTAACTGATAAGGAAAGAGGGAATGTAAACTGGACTTTTCATTTCATTGTATCTGTAAGTTACCAAGCATAGTTGAGATGCTGTAGTGCTATTAATGTTTATTCTAATGGTAAAAACAATAGTATAATGCAGTTATGTTTACTTTCCTATAGGTTCATCAGTTTTGTACTAATGTACTACCACTAATGAACATTACATTGAACGGATGTACTAAGGATAACTGTTATTCAACAACAAATGTATCCATAAGCAATAGTTCTTATAATAACATTTCACTTGTTGTTCAATTTCCATCAAATAAG